GTCAGAGTAGAGAACAATAGAAAAGATAAAATGATCTCTGTATTGTTTGACAACAAAGAAAATATGCAAGCCGCACTGAAAGTAAATGTAGGTACAGATGCGCAATTGTCCACTCACATACATAGAACACAATCGTATAAAAATAATATTTTGAATGAAAGGAAAATGGAAATTAAATTATGAGACATCCCTATTGGTGTAAAACATAATGAATTAAAAAGTGAATTAGAAAATATATATGGCGAAGTGGAGCAATTAATATTATGCTCAACAGGAATGTGGCAATGGGCAATCGCTGTCTTTAAAAAAGAAGAAGTAACTAAAGAACTTCTTAATCAATGGAGTATAATTATTGGTGAAGACTCACTCCATGTTACATCTACTGATTGTAGTTATGATAATCTCATGACATGTGGTAAATTTGCTGCAAGGATGATCAATTTACCATCTGGCATTACAGCAAAAAAGATTATTCCTAACATCAAAATGATTGGTGCACTTACTTGCTATATCCCTAGGTCTCGCAATTATAGACATAGAAGTGAGGCAATTATCTCTTTTGTAAATGAAGAGGTACTAGAAGTGGCAATTGGTAAAGAGTGGAAAGCAGGTGAATTCAATATTAAAGTCACAAGCCTGGCAACAAAAACATGCTACAGATGCCACTCCGAGGAACATATCGCTAAAGATTGTCCACGGTCAATAAATGAAAAGAGAATAGAAGTAACAAAAAATGAAAATTTTTTAAAATTCAAAATATTTACAAAAGGTACAATCCAAAATTATATACAAATTTAAATAAAAAATTTGATGAAAAATCATTTGCTGATGTACTAAAAAATAATAATAATAATAATAATACAACGATGTATACAAACAAAAAAAAATAATAGTAAATGATGATGTAAAAGAAAGGTTAGACAGAATGGAATGAATTATCACACAACTAATCAATAGATTTAATAAATTAGAGAATTTCTTACAAGACAAACTCAATCTTAATTCTGAAACTAATCAATATCATAGTAATTACAATGAACCTGAGGTTGATTCGCAAATGGATTTTGATGAACTGAACACACACAATATAGAAGAAAGTGAAGAAGTGAAAAATAAAAATGAAGATAATTTTGGTAGATTAATACAAATAGTAGAACAAGTCAGCCAACGTATGAATACACTTGAATCTAGCATATATGCGAATGAAAATAAAAAATATAATAATAATAACAATAATAATCAATATGAGAACTGGAGGGTCTCAATACACCGTACATAATTAATAGACAATTTTTATATATTAATTTTAACAAATATGATGGACAACAATAATAATAATATAAATAATAATAATATAAATATAAATAATAATACAATAAAAAATAATCAAAATATAAACATTAATAATAATAAGTTAGAAATTTAATACATAATAATAGTGAAATAATAAGTAACTCAGATTTTAAGATAGCTACGCATAACGTACGAGGATTCAATGATTTAGTTAAACGAAATCTTTTTTTTAATTATATCAAAAATGAACAGTTCGACATAGTGGGTATAGCAAAAACAAATTGTGGTGAAAGCAAGGGGCAATGGTATAAAGACAATAAGGATAAATTTCATATCCACTGTTCGGGTAACGGAAAAGGAACTGAAGTAGCCTTAATAATTTCAAAAATACTAAATAAGTATGTTTGTAAAAAAAGAGAATATGAGGGTAGAGCATTTTGCGTAGATCTAGTTCTTCCAAGAAAAATGACAATTTGCGTAATGCAAATTTATTTATCAAGTAAAAAAAGTTATAAAGTTAATGTAATTAACTTGATTAAAATTCAATTAAATGAAGCTCAAAGGAAAAAGAAAAAAGTTATAATGATGGGGATTTTAATGCAGTACCGTCATCTGTAATAGATCAAAATAACAATAGTCACTCATAATTTCCAGAAAGTGAAATCTTCCCGCTGCTAAGTAGTCATGATCTAATTGACTGCTATAGAATAATGTTTCTAGAAAACACAGGGTATATATGGAAAAGAGATAATTCAAACGAGGAAAGTAGAATTGACGCAATTTGGATGTCACACAGATGGAGTGATAAAATTACGTCATGTTTTTTAGACGACATCAAATTGATAACAAGTAGCGACCATAAACTTTTAGGTGTGAAAATGTTGAAAAAGTGGCAAATAAGAGAAAAAGATGAGGAAATTTATCCCAATGGACCTAAATATAATATGAAGCTGATGGATGAGAAACGATGGCTAAAATTTGCAGAGTTGGTAACTGTAGAGGTTGAGTCATCAAAATTCTTCAATGGCATTAATCACCAGAAAAAGAATTATAACTCCCTAAATAAAAGTTGGTTAACACTCAAAAATATAATGATAAAAGCAGCAGATCAAATTATATCAAAATATAAATGGAAAAAAAAAAGAGATCACTGACTCCAAATATAATCAAAGAATTTCGCATTGCAAAATTGTTAAATAAGGTATATAAGCTATTTAGCATGGAATGAGCAAAATCAATTAAAACAATTAAAAACAGTGAAACTTTTAAAAAAGAAGAAAGAAAACTGAACATGCTAAACTATAGCATGGAAAAAATTTTCAGCAGAGACAATACAGATAGTTTTGAAATACGAGAAGAGCTAAAAGCGGTGTTGACCGTGATTTACCTTCAAATAAATACGATTAACTAACAACTAAAGGCAGGGAAATATGTATAGCGAACA